TCCGGTGGTGCCCCAGCTCGGGCCCCGCTGTTTGCCGGAAGGTTTATCCCGTCCCTGGGAAAGGTGGCCCGCACACCTCGCTTAAGGGGAAAAAGGAAGAGGAAAATTAGCCCCCCGCTGGCTTGGGGGTCTTGGGCGGCATGTAACACCTCAAAAGAGTGGCAGAGCATGTGGACACGATCTAGAAGAGAAGAGGGGTGACCCGGGGGGAAGAGATGACAGTGTTTTGTCAGTGCCACCCAGCAAGTCACCCGCAGATCGGTGATCCAAGCAGTGAGGGACTGAGGGAGTCCTTCAGCAGCCGGGGAGGTTTCGGCTGAAGCCTGGCTGCAGGTGTACCCTGGAAGTCCTCTTGCTCGTGTTGTCCGTCCATCTGCCAAAGCACCATGTCATGCTGTCAACAGCTGCTTCACTGTTTTGGACAACTTAATGTTGCGAAGACCGATTTCTGCCAGCTTGCTCTCCTTTCTTTGCATGTTGCAAAGAAAAAGAAAAAAATTGGTAATTTTTTTAGCAGCTAACTAGAAAGTTTTCTGCTTGTGTGGCAGGCAGCCCTTCTGTCAGCTGTTACTTCTCTTGTGCGTGTGTGCAAGGGGAGATATGTACCTGTTCACTGTGAGCTATTTTGTTTCAGAGAAAAGGGGTTTTTTTGAGGGGTGGGGTAGGAAGGAGCAGGGGGATGAACCTTTATGCTACTTATGCATGGTTATTGGGAGGCTTGATACTTGCCCATGTAATAACCCAGTTTGCCCTGGACTCCGAACTTAAGACCTCTGTTGATCTGGTGAAACACGTACAGGAAAGGTTTTAAACGCAAGGGAAATTAATGGTAGGCAGTTGGACCAAAAGACTGAATGCAGAGTTTAGTAAAAGCTAGGTGGTCATCCCTGTTGAAAATCGGATTCCTACCTTAAATTGGAAACCTGCTGCAGAAGTTGTAGAGTTGTAGCCTTAACGAGGTTTTTTTTTTTTTAAATCATAAGCCCATCTTCAAGTTTTGTTCTGATGGTTCACTTTCCTGACTTCCAAAATATTCTACAGAGGAGAAAGCATTGATTCAAAAACTAGTTTAAATTCTACTTTGGTCATTGCTTTTCCACTGAGGTTACCTAAATGCTTAGCGTACATTTTTAGTTATAACTGCTTCCTGCAGCAAGGGTTGAAGGAAGTGCTCCAGTGTGACTTCAAGCTAAATTTATAATGGTGTGAGACAAGATAGATAAGTCATGCTGTGTAAAATCACGCCTTTGTTGTTGTGGTTTTACTCTGGTTGGAAGCAAAACACCACACAGCTGCTCACTCCCCCCTCCCAGGGATGGGGGAGAGAATTAAAGGGGTAAAGGGAAAAAACACTCATGGGTTGAGAGAAGAACAATTTAATAACTAAACTACAATCATATTGAAAGGATTAATAATTATTATAATAAGTAATACATATACAAGTGTACAAAGGAGTGATACACAGTGATACTGCTCACCATCCGATGACCAAGGCTCAGCCCATTCTTGGATAAGGATCCCAGAGCAGGGAGAGTCCTGAAACAGCAACCCCGAAATGAAGATAAGAGCTTGAGTGTCTGAGAGACTGAGATAACCCTGGGAGATGGGCAACCCAGAGGGAGATAACCTGGCAACCTGGAGCAACAGAGAGCACTTCTGGCCAGAGCCCTATCTGTATACTGGGCATGATGTGCATGATGTGGAATATACCATTGGCCAATTGAGGTCTCAATCCTAAACCTAAGGTTGAATCCTAGGGTAGTAATTGATAGCAAATTGATAGAATAGTTTGAAAGTATTTTTTTTCTTAATCTCATTTTGGTGTAACATACTGATCTCTTTGAAAAGAAGAATTTTTCTTTTTTTGTTTCTTGGTTTTCTTCCGGAACATATTTTAGAATATTATTTACATTACAAATATATTCTTAATAGGTGTCTTTTTTGATCCCTGAATGTGGCTTGCTACCTGAAGTGCTGAAAAGTACCATTGCGGATGTTGGAGAGTACTACCTGGTGAGGAATTTATCTGTTCATGAGTTGGTCGCTCACGAATTCATTGATGCTTTTGTGAAGAAAGGTAAGAAGGTAATCAGAACATGCCAGATGCAGTAATAGTGTATATTTTTCGTAACACAGTAAAATTGGTTTATTATCATTTATTCTGAAAAGTATTTTAAAGGAAGGGAAGAAAAAATGCTAAGAAAACTGTGTATTAATGTCTTTATCTGCTTTTGCTGCTTTGTGGTGTGTCAACATTTGTTTACACCCAGTGGGTCCAAAACTTCTATGATTGTTCTTTCTTCATTTCTTCCTATTCCATCTTAATTCTGTAAGCCAGCTATCAAGAGGGCTTCTGTGTATCCTCACACCTGTTTCTTCTACGCCTCATCTTTATGCAGGTTCCTGCAGAAATTGTCTCCTTTCTCCCTTTCTCATTCCTTGTGTTAGCTGTGTTCCACAGTGGACAAGAGAAAAAAATCTGGTTACCTTTTTTTTTTTTTTAAGTTTTTGATAATGGAGTTACAGCAGGTCATCTCTACACAGTAAGAGCAAAGAGGATGTGAAGAAAGATGCAGCCTCTGCCCAGCCAACTTGCTGTTGCATACTCAGAGCATGCTGTTTTCATTGAGCAGGGCCCACTTGTTTGGCTTGTGATAACGATTTTAGCCTTCATATGATTGCCAGTTTGGAAAAAAGCTTTAAAGGGAAAAGAGAGGAGAACAGAGACCATGTAGATGAAACAGCAGAATAAGAGATTAATTACTTGCTAAATGTGGGACTCATCTTATTTCTTTTAGTCTCATTAATGCTTTTTATGCCAGCAGCTTTATGGAAGCAATACGATGTTTGTACACAGAGTTTACGGGATCTGACTCTTGTATTTTAAAAACCAAAATTGGTTGTGGCAGATAATGCTACAAAATAGATTTAGCAACGTGAGCTTCTTCCACCTTGTCTTCATCTGAACTAACAATAGAAGTGGGTCTGGAAAAAAACGTAGTTTTCCGTTTGCTGAGTGGGAAAGGTCACATGTGGAAAGAAGGTGTTTTCATATTGGGGCATATTGTTAATGTTATGTGTATTACGGGTCATTTAAAATAGTGCCAGTCCAAGGTTTATAAAAATGATAACAAAATGCTATTTTGCTTGAGGAAAGTTAGATGAGGAAAACACAAGAGTTTAGAATGATTCAAATGTTATTTGGCATGTTTGATTATCTTGAGGTGAATTGTTCATATGGTCGTGTCCATCTTTAGAGACTGTGTAATCTCATGTTTTTTTCCTAAAGGTTCATGCTACGCACTTACTCATAACACAAAAATTGACCAAGATAATACTGCAGCTCTGCTACCAAATGGTATGATATTTTTTGCTTTTAGTAATACATAGATATTGATTATGGTCTTGGGTTGTTCTTTTCATTTGGAGTAATGTAAACTGGAAAATTCAATGCTTACTATACTTGCCAACTTTGTTAGAAATATGTTTGAATCAGAAAAATATTAATTTAAACTTATTTTTTTAATTCATGCTGTTAAATTTATTTCAAATAAAGGAAATTTTTAAAAAATCAACTTAGGTATAGTATCAGATTGTCAATGCTCAACTATAATTGCAATTGCTACAGAGGATTATTTTTGTGAAAACCTTGCATTGCAACTTCTTGTTTCCTACTGGTCTTAAAGACAGAATTTGTACCAAAAAAGAAAATTATCAGCACTGCTGAGGAACACTTTTAAAATATTGTTTATTCTTTGAGAATTATGTAATGAGTTAAAATACTCTTGCAGTTCCATCACAGTTTTATGACCAAATGTTACATCTGGGGTGGGATTTTACATGCAGAGAAAATAATGAAGTGATTTTGGGCATCAGATATGTTTCTGTTTAACAGTATATCAGATATAATAGAAACACAAATTCGTCTAGCAGCCATCTGGCCCAAGATGCTGTAATATGACAGGTGCCCATCAGGGCATAAGTAAATTCAGATTCTTCAGAGGAGGAATTCTTTTATGTGCTCTGTTAACACAGTCCTAGCGAAATGGACACTTGATAGAGATTGAGTTTGTACGATACAGCTATTACAAGTTATGCACAATTAATGCAGAGACAGTGTTACAATTCCTGGTTATGTTATCTGAAATCTTCAGCAACAAGCTTATTTGTTTGTATTTGATATTACACTGTTACTTGTGCAGTAGACTGTAGTAGAGATCTGTTGTGTGAAATTCTGTACTGAGTGGCAGCTGCTGGATTTGGTTTATGAACATGAAAGTGGAGTTGTTCCAGCGTATATCTGCTCATCACTAATAAGCATAGTTTGCTCAATGTGAGTAGTCCTGCTGGAGTTGGAGGAACTGATTTTGTATGTGTAGTTGAGCAATGCATGCATGAATGTTTACTAAATCAGGCCCCAGTGTAATGTAGTGTTCAACCAATGACATGGCAAATGCTAGGGGACAAGTGGAGGAAAGAATGAGGAAATGAAGTGAGGTAGTACAGTAAAAAAGCTATGCCTCGCTCAGGAATAATATTACACTTTCCTCATTCTAGTTCATAAGACCTTTTTGATAAAAAAGTAATTGCATTATAACCTTTTTTTTTGAAGTGTTAATTTGGTAATCCATTTAACTGAAATTGAGGAGTCTGGATTCCATTAGTAATACCATTGATCCGAAGCTAACATTGTATAAGGTTTATGATTCTCAGAAGACTGCGAAGGGAACTAAGTAGAAGATTGTTTGTATTAAAGTTTGTTTTGTTTATAGGAAAACTAATTCTATCAGTGGATAAGGATACTTATGAGGAACTTGGACTGCAAGGTCACCCTTCTCGGTATTCTGGCAAAAAAGTAATGAGATATAGTAAGTATTATTTATATTAACAGTGCTTATTTCAGATCTGTCTGTGAAGCACCTTTTTAGGATATTAAACCAGCAATGCTTCCCTTACCTTAAAATGGGTTTTTGTCTAGGTCATATTTTTCCAGATGCAGATACAAGGACTGCATGAAGAGGAAAAAATACATTTTTCCAAATAATAAAACAGCTCTAAGGAAACAAATGTGTGATCTTTGGGGTATTCTATAAAATTTTTAATTTCTGGGGTTTTCATTGTGTTGTTTATACTCGAGTGATCTGGGACTCAAGAAATTTTGTATACTGTGCACAGCATCTGTGCCTTCTGATGGAAAGCGGAAAATACTAAACTAATTAAGGTAGAGCTTAAAATTTGCACACTAGACAAAAGAGTCAGTGAAGAGCCTCACCCAAGACTGCTTGCTTGAGAGGGAGAATTGTATTACAGTTGACACATTTAAAATGTTAGTCTTCGTATACCAAGCACTTGGAAAATGTAATTTTTTAACAGCTGCAGAGAAGACATACTGAGTGTGACTTTTGTTAATTTTTTTTTGTAAATAATTAAAAAAACCCGTGAACACTGTGCCATCTCAAATGTATTACAACCTGCAGTAGTTGATAAGTAGTTACATAAAAACTTCAGAAGGGGAAATTTGTTATCTATAATAAGAATTTTGGCAAAATGGGACATCATTTTACCATTCAGTTTGTCAAGTAAAATGTATAATGAAATTTCCATCTGAAAAATAAGTTTAACTTTTACCTTGGGACCAATTAATCTGGAAAAAAACAGTTGAAAAATTGTCATTGCCGTATACATGGCTTTTAGTGTTAGAAATTCTAGCTTTTTTAGTGCTAATAGCTTGCCTAATTACCAAGATATTTTTAAGGCGCTGTTTTGATACTTCTGTCACTGCCGTTACAAAAGGAATGTGTCCCTCTAGTCACTAGAAGGCAGTTCCAGATTATCTCAAAGCAAGGACAGCAGGAGTAGAGTATTTTGTTACATAATAGAGAGTCATATTTGCATAATCAAATACTTTGTAAAGATGCTGTATATGTGGAAAGGAAGTTTAATGTTCTTTGGTTTCGTTGTGTTCTTTTAGTACTTAATGAATATAATATTAAAAGTTATTTCAGTTAAGTAACAATTGCTTTTGTACATTTTCGCAGTTATAACTATTGACTTGACTGATTCCAGCTTTCACCCTGATAGCAAGAAATATAACAGAGTGCTTTGGGCCTTGAAAGAAAAGAAACCTTTAGAATTTGACTTCCTGATGGCTTGGTATAATACAGGTAATAAAAACTAAATGTAAAAGTAAAATGTAACTGACATGAAGTCCAAATATTTTTAGTTTACTGTTCTTTTCCAGTGATTGCCCAAATACTTTTTTAGTGGATGGAAAAGTTAGATTAAAATGTGTTTGGGTGGAGTTTTTTGTTTGTTTTGTTTATTTGTTTGGGGAGGGGGTGTTGCTTCCTACACAGCAAAACATTCAGTTCAGGAACACAACAGTGTTTCTTAGAGGATATGTTAATTGCTTCATTTCCTTGTGTTAGTGTCGTGCAGGCTTTCTAGTGTAACTTTGCCTATTTTATAGTGCTGCCTCTTCTTTATAAATTTGTGACATACATAACCATTATAAATACACATTATTTATTTTTTTATTAATAGGCATAAGTTATATATTTGGTGTAGTACTCAAGATGGGGAACTTTCATCAGTAGTTATAGGACATGTACAGAATCCCTGTTTCCATCATGTGGTATGTACACTGATACACGTGCAGTCTGCTGTTTTATCATTTTATTCTCAAACACTTGTTTGAGTTTGAAGCAGAGTAGTTGTTGTTCTAAGAAATTGTATTGTCTCAAATCACCTTTCTTCTAGTATTCGTTCATCTACTGTTTTCTAATTACATTCATTTTTCTGCTGGGGTTTAAGTATTGTTCTTCCTCTGAGGGCCGTTTTCCAAAATCCTCAGTTACTTGTATTACCTCAGAATAGGCTGTATCTAGGGATACCTAGCATTTGCATAGAATTGAAAAAACTGCAGGAGTCTGTACTGCAAAAAAACATTTTTCTTCATCATAGCTGTGTAGCTTTTAGTGTGGTTTTTCCTGGCTCTTCCAGACCAAGTCTGAGAGGGTGTTACTGATCTGAGAAATTAAAGCTGCTTACAAGCTCCTTTAGCAGTGTCCCTTGTTTCACTTTAGTCCTTCATGTTTCCCTTCCCCCTTTTTAAGTACTGTTCATATGACAAGGACCCTTCCTTGTTTGTCATACAGAAATTGTTTAAAGGCTTGCAATTCCATCCTTGTAGTCTTCAGGAAAGAGTCACTGTGAAAGCTGTTGCTGCCATAAATGGTGACATAAAGCCAACTAAAGTGGTAGATCTTCAAGGTTCACTTGCTTGGATTTATTGACCTTGGGCAGAGAGCAAAATGCCTCTGGGTCTGGTATGTTTCTTATATTTGTTGCTGCCACTGTAGCAGCATTCAAGAAGAATAGCATTCCTCTTCTTCACTTTCTTACATCCAAAAACCGGGTCAGGTCAATCGTTTCCTGAATATGGAGTTAAATCTGAATGCCTTTCTGTGTAGGAATCTCGTGGTCATAACACACTAAAGACTCTTAGTTCCTTAGTACTGACAAAAATAAAATGTTTGTACATTTTTATTAATAGACATGAAGCACCATGTAGATTCTGCTTGAAGGGGAAAAGAGAAGTTTTATTGAGAAAATCCGTGTCCTCTGTGAACATTCTGGTTTCAGCCTTCCTGCTATATTGCTAGCATTCTTTCCTATGGCCGGCACTCCTGCAAACCTATAAACATTCGTGTCACTTTCCAACAGCAGGATTTTTTTGTTGTCATACCTGTTTTTCCCACTTAGTGGTTGAGGCACTAAGAGGAACAGAAAAAGGGACTCTGGAGTGTCTTATGTATTTACCAACAGAGGCAAAACAATCTTCTCTTTTCTATTGCTGTAATTTATGTGACAATTTTAAATGTTTATTGGCTGAAAGTCACTGGCCTCTGAAAAACGTTGACAATGACTGGTTGTTAACATAGAAAGCTATGCTGTAATTAGAGGAATTGTTCTGTTGGAGTCTTGACTGTAGTCTTTGAGATTTCTTGAAGTTCGGACTGTAGCTGAGGCTTGCTCCTGTGTGGAGAGGACATTTAAAATGTATAATTTTCTATATTTGACTTAGAATTCTAGGGCAATATTATACATACTTTGAACATGTTAGTCTAACAAATACCAATAGGAAGTACAGACTGAAGGAAGATCATCTGTTCTAGCAGACTTTGGACTTAAAAATATCTATATAAAAATACTAAATTAACAAGAAGTCTGTGGCTGTCTGTCTTTCTCACTGTGCCCTTTGGTACTTGGACAGCCTTTTTTGATGTGCCCTCCTTTTTTTTGCTTCCCAATGTGATTGTCCTTGATAAGTATGACTGATGGAGTTTAGGCAGTCCATAATTTTTGATAGCAAGTCTTCAATAGGGTATTCCACAGTTAAGTCTATCCTGTTCTTGAATTTATTCTGTTAATACATGCCTTTTCTGTGGTATTTAAATGCTATACTGGCCCTAAGACTTATACTGAATAAGGTATTATTTCTTGGTTGCCCTGTTACTTTATGAAAATATCTGGAATTTCAAATTTAGGAAAATAGACTCAGTGTCATTTATCTTACTGTTTCAAAAGGGAAATCGGTTAATATCTCTTAATTTGCAATATGCTTTCCTAGGTTAGGTTTTTTAGTCTAGGATAAGTTTTCATAATTTTACCTGCTGTTTTGTATCACTAGAATTAAGATACATGGCTTTTTCCCTGGAAGTCCATCAAGGTACATCTAACTTTTACAGCCATACTGCATTTGAAGACCTGCCACATTTTTTTTTCTTCTTTGATCCTAGTAAAGTGAGATTTGTGCTATAATTTGATTTGTTTACCCTCCCCCCTTTCTTCTGTCTCCAGTCCTCATCTTCCAGTCTATTGTAGAATTCCTCTTGACATCACTGATAAATCTGTTCTCAAACATATAGTCACCTGCTCACTTTTACACTATTCAGGGAAAACAGTGTTCTGGGATGGCAGACACTTTAACCAGGTGGGTAGGAGAGTCTCTAGTCTTGATGACCACATGACCTTCCAAATATACCTTACCTGAAGCCAATTTCTCGATTTACTATAAATAATTTTTCTCCAAAACCTTATGGCTCCTAAATTAAGTTTGCCATCACACCTGGGAAATCAAGTATGTGGTCTTTAGTGATGGCATCAGTCCTCTCAGAAGGATTCTTATGCATTGTTGTCCTCAGCTGACAGAACTAAGAGATCCACTAACCTGACATGCTGGATAGAAGACTGAGTGCCTCTTAGGATAAGGAGAAGGGAAACTTTCTGCAGTCGTGAAGGCATGTTTCAGGGGAATTTAAATGGCATTATAGCTTTTTGCAAAGTATTCCTGAGATCTGCAGGAATTTATTCTGCTGGAGTTATTCATGATTCTAGAAGCCCTGCGGTCTCTGAGAGGCAGTTCTTGGTGAACTAGTGATGCTGGGATTCCTCTAGACACACCGTGGTTTTTGCAGGGAATACTGCCTGAATTCATGTGAGCTTAGTTCCCTTTATTTTTCTTAGAGATGCATTATCTTTGTGCACATCTACATGTATTCTTCCTCTCATGGTGCAATGCCCAAGGAATTTCTGGAAATGCTGAGCTAGAGATGACCTAGTGGTATAAAGCATGCATTGTTCTTCTACAGCAGTGAGTACCTGTGTGTGAACACAAAGGGAATGTACATGCAAGGCAAAATGTTCTCTGGCCTCATGTATGTAAGCATGGGTATGCTTATGGTGTGAGTGCATTTGCAGACCACTTTGTCTCGAGGAGCAGTTAACACTCTGAATTCCTCTTTCTAATGAGTTTGTTTTATTACTTGCCCAGTTAATTCAGCTTGAATTTTCTATTGACAAATCTATACTTACCAGTTAAATAGTAATTTTACTGAGTTGCTGGATCTTGCACTGTTACATTTCCAAGAAGATAAGGAAGCTGAAGATTCTATGGCTTTTGCCAAAGACAACAGCATGTAAACAGTTTACACACTGCATTTTCTTGTATACACATACAAAGGTTTAATGTATTCAGAGCTCCTTTTGTTTAGTAGTTTTGTAACAGCTCCTTGTGGTGTTGTGTTGTTAAGGTGCAGAGGGATCAACATTGATGTCATACTTTTCAAAAAACCAAATACAGGCCCTGAAGCCAAAAGTGACCTTCAGCACCTTAAAGGACTTGCAGTGTCCGGTGTTACAAAGTAACGAGCTGCAAGGAAAGCCAGATGAGTCCTGCAGTACAGAGGAACTGTTTGAATGGCTAGGTGCTGTCTTGAATCAAGTTAGCTTGTAAGTATTTGAATTTGTTTGATCTTTAAATAATCTTAAGTAAGGAAAGCCACAATTTATTTTAAGTAAGAGTTAAATAAGAACTAATTCTTATGATGCATTTCTTATGACTGATTCTTACAGACGCATGCACTTCAGTGTTTGTTGTAAGTCTTGAACAATTGCGCTGTGGTTTTGGGGGTACCCATGTTTACTGGTGCTTGTGTGGTGCTGTTTTGTATTTATGACAAAAACAGTGTTGATAACACAGGGATGTTTTAGCTGTTGCTGAGCAGTGCTTACACAGCATCAAGGCCTTTCCTATTTCTTGTACTGCCCTGCCCATGAGTAGGCTGGGAGGGAACACAGCCACAACAGCAGACCCCAGCTGAGCAGAGGGATATCCCACACCGTATGGTGGCATGCTCAGCAATAAAATCTGGGGGAAAGAAGGGGGAGAATGTTTGGAGTTAGGGCATTTGTTTTCCCAAGTCACAATCGCACATGATGAAGCCCTGCTTTCCTGGAGATGGCTAAACATCTGTCTGCTGATGGGAAGTAGTAAATGAATTCCTTAGTTTGATTCACTGTCACATGCAGCTTCTGCTTTTACTATTAAATTGTCTTTTTCTAAACCCACATGTTTTCTCACTTTTGCTCTACGATGGTTAATCCACAGCACCATGACATCTTGTGTATTAGTTGCTTGGTCATTGGTTGCTTCAGCATTAATTTACATGATATACATAGGTACGACTTGTTTGGTAAAAGCTTTGATTACTGAGAGTTACTGTAGAAGATTTAAAGTATATTTATTCTAGTTGTTTTGTGTTTTTTTTTTTTTTCCAGAGACAACAAATCATCTAGCTTTTTATCAACCTATTGCTGCCCTCAGCCCAACACAATGGTGGAAAAAGCTTTTTTGTGCACAATCACAGGCTTTATAATTCCTGAGAAGATAATTCAGTTATTGGAGCAGCTATGGTAAGGGCTGACAGGAGTACATTACTAAAACATTTGTACTCGTAACACTTTTTGGAATAGTTTTTAAATACCTTTTTTCAGTAGTGCTGTTGCAGGGAAATAGCAAAATATACAAAATGAATTTTTTTAACTTCAATTAGGAAATTATCTGGAAGCTTAACATCAGTATATAAAAAAAGAAATAAACAGTTCTGGATATTCCAAATTCGAAAATGACTACCCTGTATTCTGGTAATGACTTTGCTTTTTATCTTAATTTCTAAGAAACAGTGGCTCTACTGAGCTCCACATTTTTCAAATTCCCCCGTCTGTGAAAATCAGATGCCCTCATATATGTCTGATGTAGTCTTTTTAACTACTGATGGAAAATATGGTTGAAAAGCCTTTATGATACCAAAAAGAGTATTGCAAGGTTATTATGTACTTCGAGGTTATTATGCCACTACAATCAATAAACTTTTAGTGAGTTTTTAAGTGTTGTAACATAGGACACTGGATAGTGGTGACTGGGGGAGCCATAGTTCAAATTCAATACCAAACTACATGATGCTGACTGTATCATGGATCAGTGTGGTATCTGGCTGTATTGTATATTAGTGCTACTGATAGCAAATTCTGGAAACTCTTTGCTCCATGTATGAGGCAATTCTTAAAGTGCCTAGTGGCTCATGACTGTAGCACTGACTCATGACAATATTGCTGTTGCTTTATCTGGAATATGATCATTACTCTGAGCGATTTTCAAATCTCATACAGAAAGCCTCCCTAGGCCAGAGTTGGAACACAAATTTCTTTGGCTTTTATGCTCTACTTTAAAGAGATCTAGGTGTTCCTGCTCTGGCAGGGGGATTGGACTAGATGATCTTTCGAGGTCCCTTCCAATCTCTAACATTCTGTGACTCTGACTCTGTGAGCAGTAAGATAATGTCTGGCTTTGATTATTTGTAATCCATTTCCTTTCTGGTAGTAAAAGTATTTGTGTCAAGCATAGCCTGGCTATGTTTCTTCCTCCTATGTCTTTTTTGCCCTGATAGCAACTGTTCTCAGTAAATGTTCTGTTTTCTGAAAGAAAATGCATGCTGTAAGAAATTCTGAGCAGCTACTTTACAACTTAAACTTTTCTAATCGCTATAATTTGCAGGTTTGCCATGTCTAAAAGTACAGTAGGAGTAATCAAGAGTCAATCTTATTTCATTTCCTAATGTCTTCTGATATAATTTTTTTAAAAATGTATTTATTATGTACTAAAGAAGTGTTTTTTGTTAATTACAAGTTTTCACTAGAGTGCATATGTCTTTTTTTAACTTTATATTGCGTACTTGAACATGCTCTCTATTCCACTGTAATTATTGATTATCTTGTCTTGTTCCTTGCAGTTGCTATTTTGTTGAACCAAAACTGGCATATTGGCTGACCTTAACTGTGCATGGCTTTGCAGACAGCCCTGTTTCCTGGAGAGAAAATGAACATGGTTTCCACAAGGGAGGAGAGAACTTGTACAACTTCGTCATTTTTAGAAATCTGGACTACTGGCTTCAGATGGCTGTAGGAACTAATGATGATTGTCCTCCATAAAGCTATATCTACAGAAGAAGTTTTCTAATAATTCCATGTTACTGTATAGAAACATTAGATAATTTTTATAAAAGTAATTAAGTAACAAGTTAAGTACTAAGAGACTGTATATGTTTTGCCATTATTTATAGCCTTTAAAGGATGACCTGCAATGGCGGAATGGATTTTTTGTTTCTTCACTGTCATACAGTGCCTTCTGAAAGACTTCACAATTCTAGCTTTAAGAAAAAGATGTTTTTGAGAGTTTTAAGTTCTCGGGAGTTGTTTTACAGATTGCTAGCTAAAATATTTGGGAGGAAATCTCATTTTGGGATTTAATCTTTTTTTTTTTTTTACATTAAAGATCTGTAAACCTTCAAATTAATTCTTAAGTCATTTCAGACTACATGGTGACAAATAAAAAAAAGGGGGGGGGGGAAGATGTCTTCTCCATAATTTGGTAGGGGGAAGGAGAAAAAAGGTGAGGAGAAGGAGGTACGTGACAGGGGGAGGAGCCCCTGTTGAACATGGGAAAAGTAAAGGCTTACTGACCTGCTTTTTGAATTTTGCAGATCACAACTGGTTATCAGAAGGAAGTTGATTTTTACAGTGATGCACAAGGCCACTGCTTGCTTTCTTAAATGACCTCCACAGACACACACTCATACCCTCACCAAATCTTGACCTTTTAAAAGTAGCTTGTGGTTCTTGCTTACAGGGTTGCTCATGGAGCTAAGATTTTACTGTCACGTTACTGTAGACACGTTTCTGGGAAGAACGCTATGGATATACCGTCAGACAATGCAGTTGAAGGGAAACAGGTTGAGTTAACAATATGCAGTAATGTTGAGAGTATAGGCAGCTATAAAGAATCCAAGTTAACTCCTGTTGAAATCCATGAAAGGCTGGATGGGGGGAATGGCCTCTATTTCATTTTTGTTTCATGGAGTGGGTATGTATCATTAAAGTAGCGATGCAGTGCTGAAATGGAAGTTCTTCACTTGATGAAGTGAGAGATTGGTAGTGGAAGTTAGGGCATAGCTGTAGTGGAAACATCAAGATCTCATGTCGGGGTGAGTGGCACAGAAAAGCAGAAAGCTCATGGGAAGCAGCTGAGCTTTCTTTTTTTGTCTGTTTATTGGTTCCTTTCAGTGAGGAGAATCATCCTGGATAATTTACTGGATGGTATTTGTTTGTTATACACCTCCACTAAATATAACTCCTTTTGCTGAAGTTTTGTTACACATTTTACAAACAGAACTCTGACAAACCAGAAAGCAGTTTTCTAAGTCATTATGTTGTTTTTAAAAATTATCCGCTATAAGATGTTTCTAGTAGGTTACCGGGAGCAGAAGCACCTTGTCACACGTACAGACATAGATTACACGATCACAAACTGAATGCACAAGAGTTTGGGAAAGTTCTTGGCTTGACACTTGACTGGTAAATATGTAACATGGCTGGCTCAAACATCATGTGTCATTACTATGCATCAGTGCAAATGGCTTCAGTTGTTGGCTAAAGTCTGCTTTTGAAAGTGTCTGTTGAGGGGTTATGCCACACTTTAACAAAAGAGATGATTAACCAGGAGCATCTTCCTTTTTCCCCTTGATCAGGTCTCTTAAAAGCTTGGGCTTTTCCTGGAAGTTACACCTGCAGCAAAAGTTCTGATACAAAGTTAAAAATCCTAAATCTTTATGCTGCTTCAACAAATGTGCTCATCTTCCTGTTAGATTCTAGTAAAACTAACTTTTTCCCCCATAGTGTGTATACACACACATGAACAAGTGTAATGTATACTGCTTGGAAAAAAAATAAACAATTCCCACCCAGAAGTAAGAATCTTGTACTAGTGGGTTTGTTTCCCTTACTAACTGAGAGAAAGGAGTGAAGTCTTATGCATATGATTCATAATGCTCCCAGCAGGAGTGCAGCAGCTGTTGGCCTTGGCTCTGAATGAGCAGCTGTAGGACCAGGTGAAGTGATTTTTCTAATTGGTGCCAGGTTGCAGCTTGGCATTGTTGATGAAGGAGCTGCTGCAGAAGTGCTGGTGGGTACGTAGTCATAGCCTCAGTCAGGCAATTCTGGAAGGCAAGCTGAGCAGCAGGCATTTCAGCTCTATTGCTTCTCCTCAGTATCTGAGTATTAAGGTTAATCTTATGTAGTACATCTAGGGAAATCTCATCAGATTGGTCAACAGTTCCCTTTGCCTACTATCTACATAGGGAAGGGAGTGTAAATATTTCTCAAAGTTCAGTGTTATAGGCAGAGTCATTTAGCTGTGCTGCTTTCTATAATACCTAGTTGTCTTCTTGGCGTTGTTTCAATGGCTTTTCCAGCTAAGGCAGGGATTAAAATCCTGTCTCTGACTCTTGCAATTTAATTGAGATGCTAAATTGGTTTCTGGCTCTTCTTTAAATTTATAATGGAAAACCTTGTGCTGTTAATAGTCACTGCAGTTGGTCTGCTCTTAGACTCTGAGATGATACTTCTTTAAACAGATCCGTGCTTTTTTAGCAAGGTCCAACAGTGTGTTTGCCTCTTAGGAGACAGGCTTTTCTGTGCTTGCTGGGCTTTGTAGTTGCACAGAAGAGAAACTGGGGGGACTTCTTTCTTACCACCTGCAAACTGGGACCTGAGGGAAGATTTTCCTGGGATGAGGGACAGCAGCCTGTTCCCTACAATCTGTAGGAAGAGAAGGAATACTCTGTCTCCCAAGGAGGCTCCCAAGCCCAGGGGAGACTTGCTGAGAAAAGGTACAGGATGGCATTGCTCACATGCTTGGGGAAAAGGTTGGGAGGGAAGAGCTGGGACTTGGCCAGGGGGGCAGTAATCCAAGGAAGAATTGAGCAAGGTACATGAGATGGCGATAAAAGTTTTTGCATGAGAATGAAAGATGGCTGCTGGTGGTGGTCTTGCCCTTTGTGCCTGCCTATGACAGAGGACGGGAAAATGCAAAAGGTTCCTGAGAGCTGCAAAAGTAATGAGGAGCAGCTGTGTGCCAGTTGCTTCTGAGATCAAAGGGCTGAATGCTTACTAAGAAGTTTTGCCTCTGGGGAGTGTTTTATCTACGATGGGGAAGGAAAGCCAAATATCTGAATGTAGAGACAAGCCTGGGGCAAGCTGGTTGCATGAGGAATAGAGTTTTTTGTTGTCCTGGTATGCAGACAGAGAGTGATAACACACTCCTTGAGAGCTAGGGAACTGCTTTGCTTTAATCTCAGCCCTTCTACTTTTTTTCTGCCTCAGCTGGTGGAAGGAAAGGGAATTTTGTTGAGAGGTTACTGGAGGGTAGCAGAACCAGGTGGGAATAGGCCACAGAGATCATGTGCTTTTCCAACCACACGTTCGAGTAAGTGGTTATTTGTGTTCAGAAATTGGTGGGTGTGAAACAAATAGAGAACAAATGTTCATGTTGACAAAGGGGAGTTAGGTTAGGCGGTTGAATAGTGTGTGTTATACAAAATCACTCTAAACAGAATATATTTGCAAATGCCGATTGAGTCAGGAACCTGTCTGGAGGAATAAAGGTATGTGTTCTATAATGGCAAGAATGGGAGCCTAATGGTGGCGGTAGTATTTTTTGTCTACTAGTGTCTGTTAGCATGGGGGACTCTGAGAAAGGTAGAGATAAGGATGAGAAAAAGAACTTTCCCTGTCAGAATAGATTCTAGAGATGCTCTGGCTGCAGAGGGAAAGCAGCAAGATTTGTCATAGCTTAGATCTGGGGGATGAACGAAAGACAAGGAGTGCTAATCTAAGGCTGCTTGAAAAGGAAGTGACAGGGTTTAATGGAAGGAGAAGCATAAGCTTTGTTTTGGCTGCGTTGTGCTGCTGCTGTTTACTAGGGAGTATCCATTTTGGAGAGGCTAGCCAAGATGTAAGTTGGATGTCTGGAAAAAAGCCAGCAAGAAAACAGGTTCGTATGTCACCAGCCTGGGGATCGCATAGCAATCGTGGGAGTGAGGGAGATTGCTCAAAGATGGGCTATAATGTTTTTTTTGTTGGAAGTAATTTGTGTGCTTTTATTATTCCTTGCTACAGGCTGCCTCTTTTTGGTTTATCTGTAAGGTTTCCAAGAGTGTTACAGAAACACTAGAGGTTTAAAACTATCTTGAGATAGGTTGGATGATGTTGCTGTTAACTGCAATTAGCAGTCGGGCTGCTCACCGGATGCTGCACAGCCAGTGTGGGGTTTTGCACAGGTAGAGCACACCCCTGCTACCACTACTGCAAAAATAAAGAGGTAAAGCAGACAAAAGGTACAAAGCAAAACAGAGTTTAGAGGGGTATTTCTTTTCCCCTCTCATGGGAGGTGCATAACAAATCAGTGGCTGATCTGGGATTAGAATGAAGGCTTTTTGTGGCTAGTGAAGTACTCTAGCTACTAGAGTATAGTTCCTCTGGTGCTGTTAATTAAAGATTAATGCCTGCAATTGTCTCTGTCTTTGGTATTTTGTTATGTGGAGCTATACTGGAACATGCTTTAATTGTTTTTCTTAATTGTTTTAGGAGAATAGAGCTTAAAGAGCAAAAACTGAGACTAATTCAATCACTGGACTATTAAATAACCACCTTCTGAATATTAACAAGAAATTCAGAAATATCTACTATAAACTAAGGCAACTCAGAGTTGCCCTCTGTTTCATCCCTGGAAGTAGATTCTAGCACTGCTTAAAAATATTTCTTTTAATGCAGTCACATACAGGAGCAAAAAGTGAGAGCTAAAGTGACTTGAGCAGTTTTCAGCTTTCCAGAGAGCAATGTGCAGGGTGCCTTGGCTATGCCAAGTTTCTTTTAGCTGGCTTTATTAGAACAATTTAGTGGGCTTTAGTTATTAGAATGTGGGTATGTTTTACTTGAGTAGTTGTAGAATATCCTAAGCAGTGGTATATGCAGTTCTGTCCCCTGACAAATATAGGTAACCATTGATATTAATATTATTGTTGTTAATGTCTAAGCCACATGTCTTGGTTCACTAGGTACCAAAAATCTTTCTGCATCATATGCCAGTAGGGTTGCAGAGGATGCAAAGGGAGTAAGTTTTATCATGTGATTGCAGGTGAAAATAGCATGTTTATTGATTTTTTTTTATCATGAAGACAAGTATTTCTAAT